AAAATTGACAAACTCTCAGCCTAAGGAAAAAAGAGAAGTTTTAAATATATAAAATCAAAAATGAAAGAGGAAATATTACAACAGATGGTTCAGAAATAAAAAGGCTTATTAAAGACTAATATGAACAGTTATATACCAACAAATTGGATAACCTAGAAAAAAAATGGATATATTTTTAGAAATATACATCTTACCAAAGTAAATCAGACAAATAGCAGCCTGAGCAGATGGGTAACAAATAAGGAGACTGAATCAGTAATCAAAAATCTTCCAGTATAAAAAGCCCAAGACAGAATAACTTCATAAGTGAACTCTACCAAACATTCAAAAAAGGATACCAACCTTTCTTAAACTCTTCCAAAAAATAGAAGAAAGGTCACTTCCAAACTCATTTTATGAGGCCACAGCACTCTGATATTAAAGCCAAAGACACCATTAGGAAAGAAAACTTGGGCCAATATCCCTGAATAACATAAGCACAAAAACAAAAACAAACCTAAATAAAATAAATTCCACAATACTCTGAAAGGATTATACACTGTAACCAAGTGGATTTTATCCCTGGAATGCAGGGATGGCTCAATATTCATAAATTATACAATGTGATTCACCACAGTAGAATTAAAGGGTTTTCATTAATTAACATGATAATGTTAATAGATACAGAAAAAACATTTGACAAATTCAACATCCATTCATGATCAACACTGAGCTATAGAAGGAATGTACCTCAATAAAATAAAGGCCGTATAAAAAATGCTAATAGCTAACAGTATAATCAATGAAAGAAAAACTTGAAGATTTTTTTCTAGTAACTTGTCCAAGGAAGAATACCCAGGCTTGCCATTTCCACTTAACATAGTCTGAATTCCTTGACAAAGAAATTGAATGGAAGATGAAGAGGAAGGGGGTGGGGGAGGAGGAGGAGGAAGAGAAGTAGAAGTAGAAGCAGAACCAGAAGCAGAAGAAGAAGAAAAAGAAGAAGAAGAAGAAGACCACCAACACCGATGATGACAAGGGGGAGGGAGAGAAGAGGAAGAACAAAGAAAGAAAGAAAAGACATGCAAATAGGAGGGAAGGAAGAGAAATTATCTCTGTTTACAATCCTTAACTTCCTGTGAAATCACAAAAGACACCAAATAGCCAAAAGAATCCTGAAAAAGAAAAAAGCTGGAGTCATTGCACTTCCTGATTTCAAACCATATGATAAACTTACAGTAATTATAATGGTACGATACTGGCTTACAAATAGACACGTAGACCAATGGAACAGAATAGAGAGTTCAGAAATAAACTCCCACATATATAGTCAACTAATATTTGCCAAGGGTACCAAGAACATTCAGTGGGGGAAACGATAGTCTTTTCAACAAGTAGGGCTGGGAAAACTGAATAAACACATGCAAAAAAATGAAATTGGACTCTTACCTTATTCACAAAAATTAGACTAAAAGATAGGATCTGATACCTTAAAACTCCTAGAAGAAAACATAGAAAAGAAGCTTCTTCACATTGATCTTGACAATCATTTTCTTGGATACGATATCAAAAGCAAATGCAACAAAAGTGAAAATCAACAACTGGGACTATATAAAAACTGAAAAGCTTCTTAACAGCAAAAGAAACAATCAACAAAATGAAAGACAAAACACATAATGAGAGAAAATATTTGTAAACCATATATCAGATAAGGAGTTAATATCCAAAATATATAAGGGACTCCTACAACTCAGTGACAACAACAATAAAACACAATCTTATTTAAAATGGGCGGAAGAACTAGATATTTTTCCAAAGACAACTGAGTGGCCAATAAATACATAAAAAATGCTCAACATACCTAATCATCAGGGGAATGCAAATCAAAGCCAGAATAGGAAATCACTTCACACATTGTAACAGAATGGCTATTCTCAAGAAGATAAGAGATAACATGTGTTGGTGAGGATATGGAGAAAAATAAACCCTTATACAATGTTGGTAGTAATATAAATTGGTCAGCCAATACGGAAAGCAATATGTAACTTCCTCAAAACAGTTAAAAAATAGAACTACCATATAATTCAGTAATTCCACTTCTGGGTATATACCCAAAAGAAATGAAGACAAGATATTGAAGAGATATCTGCACTTCCATGTTTATTATCGCATTATTCACAATACCCAAAATATGGAAACAACCTTTATCTTCCAATGGATGAATAAGAAAGAAGATACGTTATCTATATAATAGAATGTTATTCAGCCATGAGAAAGAAGAAATTACTGTCATTTGTGACATGGATGGACCTTGAGGACATTATGCTAAGTGACATAAGCCCAAAGACAAAAACTGTATGATATCATTTATATGTGAAATTTTAAAAAGCCATACTCAAAGAACAAAGGCATTACATTTCTTGATTTCAAATTATATTATAAAGCTATGATAATCAAAACAATATGCTACTGGCATAAAAGCAGACATGTAGACCAATGGAACAGAATAGATATCCCAGAAATAAATCCATGCAGTTATGGTTTCTGATCTTCCACAAGAGTACCAAGAAACATACTGAGTAAAGGATAGTCTCATCAGTAAATGTTAGGAAAACTAGATATCCATATGCAGAGCAATAAACATGGACTCTTATCTCACATGATATACAAATATCATCTCAAAATGGGTTAAAGTTTTAAGATAAGATCCGAAACCATAAAACTCTTGGAAGAAAACAGAAATCTTCTTGACCTTGTTTTAGGCAATGATTTTTTGGATATGACACCAAAAGCACAGGGAACAAAAGCAAAATAGACAAGTGAGACTGCATCAAACTAAAAAGCTTCTGCACAGCAGAAGAAAAAAATGACATAGTGGAAGGCAACCTACAGAATAGGAGAAAATATCTGTAAACCATATATCTGGATGAGGTTAATATATATCCAAAATATATAAAAAGCACAACTCAATTTAAAAAGTGAGAAAAGAGTCTAGATAACCATCTCTCTCTCTCTCAAAAGAAGACATAAAAATGACCAACAGGTATATGAAAAAGTGTTCAACATCACTAATTACCAGGAAAAAACAAATCAAAACCACAATGAGTCATCACTTTACACCTCTTAGAATGGTTATCATCAAACAGACAAAAGGTATTGACAAAGATGTGGAAGAAAGAGAACACCTGTACACTGTTTGTAGAAATGTAAATTAGTACAACCATTATTGAACACAGTGTAGAGTTTCCCCAAGAAACTTAAAAATAGAACTACCATACAATCCAGCAATCTCACTTCTGTGTAGACAACTAAAGAAATGAAACGATTTCTAAGAAATATCTGTATTCCCATGTTCATTGTAGCATTAGTCACAATAGCCAAGATATGGAAATAATTTAAAGGTCCATGCATGGATGAATGGATAAAGAAGATCTCAACTGCTACAACATGGATGAATCTTAAGGACAGTATGTTAAGTGAAATCAGCCAGACATAGACAAATTTTGTAGGATCTCACTTATATGTATAATCTAAAATAGTCAAACTCATAGGAGAAAAGAGTAAAATGTTGGTTACCAGTGGTTGGGGCTAGAGGAAATGAAAAGCTATTGCTCAAAGTTTCAGTTATGCAAGATGAGTAAATCATACAGATCTAATGTACAGCATGGTGACTAAAGTCAACAATACTGTACTGTATGCTTGAAATTTGCTAAGAGGTTAGATATTAAGTGGTCTCACCCCAAAAGGATTGTTAATTATGTGCCATGATGACTATGGTAACTAGTTTGATTGTTTTGATAATTTCACTTTATTTACATGTGAGATAAATATATACAATTTTTATTTTTCAATTACACCTCAACAAAACTGGAGAAAAAAATACTACATCCCAGGCAGAATGGCAGATAAATGCTACCTTCATAGACCCACTACAGAATTCAGAGGTGGTGGTCCCATCACATTCCCATTTTAATTCATGAGTTTTGCCCTCATCAAATGAACAAACAAACAAATAGATTCTGAAAGATTAGAGTTGACTACTACTTGGTCTACTACGTGGACCAAGAAGTAGCTCTCATTATAGCTGCTGTGCCAAGTGTGGTATTTTTTTCTAAAGCATATTGAAATGGCATCAGGTACATATTATGTGGCCATTGAATGGCAAATGTACTCTTTTTCATCTCTATCAAGAAAGATCAGAAACATTACCCATTCACATGTGATCAACAACCATATGGTTTTATATTGTATCATTTTTTATCTTTTTCTTTCTTTCATAGTTTTATCCATCCTCATTCTTTTTGAACCTGAGAATGTTGTAGGTTTTTTTCACTTCAGTCCATAGTGATAAATAGTTTGGCTTTATTTGGTTTCATTGGCTCTTTTCTACTCTGAATATCTTGACCACCTTAAATCTAAAACTGGCTTTCTCTTAGCCACAATTCTAGTGAAACCACATTTGATCCCCATGGAGAATATTCAGAGACCCAGAAAGATATTGAACTTTGATTTTTTGACCGGCTGATAGTGTCAAAATCATAAATACAAACCAAGGATTTTCCTCAGGTAAAACCTTCCAATTGTAAAGGAATCAATCCCTTGATCACCTTAGCATTGTTCCTGAGATTAACAGGATAAGCATGCATTCTTAATTTGTCAAAAAGACCTTTCATGATCTGTCCTGTTTTCCTCTCCTCAAACCATCTGTTCCCTCTCCCTGAACTCAAACTACCCTTCTTCCTCATTCAGTGATCCAACCACATTGGCTTTGTCCTAGTTATCAAATACTCTATATAATCCCTGCCAGTGGGTGGTATGTTGTTGAAGGCATCCCTCATTAAAATTTCTTAAACAAATTTCAAGTTCAATATTAATAGTATAATTTTCATTTTTAAAAGATATATTATCTTTAATACTTAAGAATTCACTGAAGATACTTGGATTTAAATATCTGAAAGAGATCAAGTTTTATAATAATGATACTTTGTTGTTTATGGAAAAAGCAAAAACTCATTTCTTACTGTTGCGTCACATGAAGGTGGGTGCATCTCAGCAAGCATAAAGTTTTTGAAGTCTTCATTGACAAATCCGTGAAAACGCTGAGGTATGAAAGAAGCTGCTGACTCATTTTTTTCAATCAGATTGCTATGTACCTTTGTTTGAGGTCTAGCTGAACCTTTCAGTATTATATAAAATCCATCATTTCCAACCACTGAAACAAAACAAAACAAAAAAGCTATACTATTGACTTTATTTCCCAGGCTTTCTGATATAGACATAACTACAACACATATTACAGTTGCTTTGCTTTTTGTAGATTTCTCTTAGTTTATGCAATGAGAACTCTGATGTAGCATTTAGGCATTCACAAATAATTTACTTAAATAAGAATAAAAAACACTATACTCAAATACTATACTAAAATACTATACCCAAAAAAGAATAGTAAAAACATGTCTCCATATTTGGAGAATTCTTTTCTGACAATTATAATAATCGATCCTCTTATGGAATTGATAGATTCTAGAAAAAGAACCATGGTAACATGTTACAATTAATAATTTAAGATATTTAAAGAAAAATAGGATCAGAAAATTCTTTGAATTTTTTAAAATGTTCTCTTCACCTCAAAAATGCAATTTTGCTTATTTTATTTAAGTAACTATATATATATTAATTTTTATTTGTCTTTCCTCTGGGTATGATGATGATTGCTCATAGACGCTCATTTGGAAAGAGAGATCATTATTAGAAAGAAAAGTTTTTTCCAGTATTTCTTTTGCTTCACATTGTAACTCTCCATTATCTTCCTAAAGTTTAACTATGCTCCTGTAAGTATGGTTGGTTTACCCACTTGTGAGCATTTTGAATGCAACTTAAATCTGTTCTAGTTCTTCTGAAGCCTTTTTTAAAGAAGCAGAGCATAGGACTGGATTATGTCATTTTCCAATTGTTTACATTATTTTATAGGATTGGAGCAAATTATTCAAGTGTTGTGAGAAGAACTTTTCTTAAATTTTACTTATTATCTTGCGATAAATAGAAACTTTACAAATTGATTTTTAAGAACAATTGTAGGTTTTTTGTTTTTTTTTTTTCCCTAAGAAATGACAACTGCTTGCCTTCTCTGCTTTTTTCTAAATGAGTGCTTTATTAGTGGGGCTTTCTTGGTAATCATCTGTACACAGTGACTATAGGATAGTGATTTTCAGTCTTCTTTAAAGCAAGGGTTGTGCTTGCTTGAATGCCTGAGCTTAAAATAGATTCCTTTCTGGATAGCACAATATCACTTCTTACTAAACATCTAATCTATGTGGTGAAAGCACTGTAGAAACATTGCTTTTAAATAGCTATCAGATGAGCTGTATGAGAACTACATTGTAGAAAGAACATTGTAAAGGTAAAAGGTAATAAAATTTTGTAAGAGTATTAATGATTTTGACCAATTACATAGGTGAAAAAAGCAGTTGGGTGAAATGTGTATTCTGATAAATAAATTTGTATTGTGTTTTTGTATAGATTTTTTTTTAAGATTTTATGTATTTATTTGACAGAGATCACAAATAGGTGGAAAGGCAGGCGGGGTGGTGGGGGGAAGAAGGCTCCCTGCTGAGCAGAGAGCCCAATGTGGGGCTTGATCCCAGGACTCTGGGATCATGACCTGAGCTGAAGGCAGAGGCTTTAACCTACTAAGCCACCCAGGCGCCCCTATTTTTGTATAGATTTAATTGGCATTTCTTAGCATAGAATAAAAATTGTAGAAAGAGCTACATTGTGTGAAATAAACTTATGAATTGTGACAAAAATATATTTATTAACAATGTAAGATAAATACAAGCTTTTGAAATTCATAAGCAATGAGAAGGAACCTATAACATAGGCTCCTTATTCAAATTTTCACAATACACAAAATTACATTATACAACTTTTTAGAAAAAAAAGCACTCCAAACATCTAAGAAAAATTTGACTATAAGAATTAAAATACAGATCAAAATGGCTTTAAATCTTGATTCCCAGGTCTTGCAAAAGTAAAAGAATTCAATAAAATCAAGTTGGTTAAGAATTAGTTTCATATTATTATTTATCTAGCCAAACTCCATGACATGAAAAGGCAAAAAAACAAAAACAAACAAACAAACAAACAAACAAAAAACACAAACATTTTCATAAGGGCTTCAAGAAATTTCCTAGTACAGGACAGACCTCATGTCTTAAAATATCTTTTAACCACACTTGAATTAGCTGAACAAAAGGCATTCAAAAGGAACTGAGAATACTAATAAGGGAAAGTTTACTCATTTTGGTACTGAGTTTTCAAAAGATCAAAGGCCAAATACGAAGTTTGATTAAAGGAAACACGTTTGTGAATTCCTGACTAAGAGTCTCCTGGTCTCTGGTTCAGCTAAAATTAACCATTTTAAAAGGATTTAAATGTTTCAAGGAACTATAATTGGATGAATAAAGTCATATTGTCACCTGGGTAATTCTTACTTGGCCTGTAAAATTGAGTTTAAGTGTTATCTATTTACCAGGGAAGCCTTTGCCTGACCTCTGCCTTGCTCCCATCCATACTAATTAATGCCCCTCCTCTGCGACCTTTTTTCAAAGAATTTCTGTCATGACACTGCGTTTTCAGTGTCTGCCAACAGATTCTAACCTCTTGGAGAAGGATCTCTAACTTTGCTCTCACTATTTCCAGCCCAGAGCATATTGCCTGGATTACTTTAGGCATTTAGCAAATACTCAAATGAACAAAATCTTAATTAATTGTCCTTATTGTATTTCTCTCCAAAGAATCTTTTAAAACATTTGGGGAACAACTCATTTTTTTCCTTAAAATTCTGTCTATTGAGAAATAAGACAAAATTCCTGGGTGGCCTAGTTTCTTCCCAGTCCATTAGGTGGGAATTTAGGAAAATACCAGAAAGTTATGTGACTTTTAAGCGAGGTGGTTTTATTCATGGAATCCTCATATTATAAGGTCTAAATGGTCCCATAGATAACATAACAAAAGCAATGAATAATTTTTCACAACTTTTATTATATTAAGGTATGTTAGGATTTTGTTCTTTGGGGCTATTTTTCTTCCCATAAGGTACCAGGAGAAGTTATATTAAGTATGTCTCATCACCTTTTTTTGAATACTGCTATAACCTGTGGAAAATAATCTACAAGTAACATTGGATATTTATTTTAAGATTTAAAAAAAAATTCAAATAAATAAATCTAGAGGTAAGTGGCAGGGATGAAGAGAAATTTATTTCATTTTATTTTGGGCACTGATCTTCCACTGGAATAGTATTAATACTGACACTTCCTGTCCAATATTTGCAGAGATTTCATAAAGGGAGAATTTATAATTTCACAAATTGTTGATTGTTTTTAATAACCTTAAAACATTATTTGATATTTTTACTTAGTTCTTCTTACAAAAAAAAAAAACACACTAAGAAAATTCCATATTTCAAATTGCTTGTTCATATCCATAACATGTTATATTAAGACCAAGGCTGGGGCACCTGAGTGGCTCAGTCCGTTAAGCATCTGCCTTCAGTGCAGGTCATGATCCCAGGGTCCTGAGCAGGCAGAGGGAGAAGCAGGCTCCCTGCTGAGCAAGGAGTCTGATGTGGGACTGGATTTTAGGACTCTGGGATCAGGACCTGAGGCAAAGGCAGATGCTTAACAGACTGAACCACCCAGGCATCCCTACAATATTGTTTTAAATTTTAGTGAAGAAATGGAACAAGGGAAAACAAGATGGAGGCAGGAATATATTAAATTACAAAACAAAATCTGTAAAATGCTATTTATTTGTGAGGAGATAGTACTGGGCCAATGGACAATTTTCACTCCATTTTCCTTACTTTAAAAGAAATTTTAATATTACTAGTTACCTGTAGTTTAGCAACTACAAGAGATTTTTACTCCCTTTTTTTTTTTTACAAATTTTTACTCCATTTTCCTTACTTTAAAAAATTTTAATATTATTAATTACCTGTAGTTTAGCAACTACAAGAGATTTTTTTAAATTGACTTGACTGGAAGTCTTAGTACCATTGAATTTCCTGGGAGTTCTCAAAAAAGGAAAACAATGTACTGTAAACACAGCTAAATTTTTCACAAAACACATTATTTAAAATATCTTATACCAGGTTATATCCAGAGTATTTCTAAAGATTTAAAAATCATTTCTACATGGGAAGATCAAAAGGATGGCATCTGGGTATATAACCATGGGATTCACTGATACAATCCAAAGGTAAGTGTTACTTTACCTGAAAAAATGAATGAATGACATCTATTCTCAGACTATCATTGAATATATTGACTAAGAACTGTGTTCTTAGACAAATTTTGAATTGGTACTGTGTATTCAAGAATGCAGTGGCTGGGAATGATCTGTAATACTAATTAATGAATACATTCATTTGTTAAAGATTTATTGAGTAGACTATTTTGTCCAAGCACTGCAAGTTAGGTCATGTTTCAGATTAAGAACCTAAGTACATTAGAGTCAGCTCTGTTTTTGAAATGAGGAGAGATAAGATAGCTTTGGAAGCTCAAGAACTTGAGACCAAATCATGCCTGAAGAATGTGTTATGGTATATATGCCTAGAGGTATGCAGGTGGTAAATTAAGAAATTTTTTATCTCTAAAAATAAGTGGAAGCATCTACAACACACAAAGAATGTGTTCTTTCTGACCCAAATTACATAAAATTGAACATTTTAAAGTAGTTATCAAAAGTTCTGGTCTATTAAAACAAAGAAAAGAAGTCTCAGTAAAGGTTTTAAAAAATATCTTCTCTTAAGAAATACAACTTCCAGATGGATTTTCCACTATTTTCTGATTTTTAAAATATATTTCTGGATAGCAAGGTCAAGTTTTTGTTCATGGCTGTTAATAAAAGTCAATTAATCTTTAAAGAAATCTATATAATTCATAATTTGAGCTTTAGAATTATTGGCTTATCCAGGGAGATTCTTTCTAATAATAATTAAATATCATGAAGAGTTGTCTATTAATGTCATTATTTCTATTGTCTCCAATGAATATAATATATAAATCACTTCATACATTGACATTTAAAAACTCTGTGGCTACATATCAAATACAGTTGATTAAAAATTTCTACTTTAAAATATACCAACAATTTTATGAAACATCATGTACCCCAAATTATATTCTAGCTTAATCTTGATTAAAGTAC